ACACTCCACAAATAGTATTCAGAAGAGCTCGCTCTTTGTGACTGTGTGACACAAAGTTTCTACCAGGAGACATGAGGAGGAAGATGTTGAATCCAGGAGCTTGCCAATGCGGTACATGTAACCAATGCCCCTGGGTAATGGAAGGAAAGATAAGCCCACTACCCAATAGGCAACAATGGGTACTCAAACACAAGGTTAATTGTAGAACTACACATGTAATCTGCTTACTGTACTGTATTTGTGGGGCCTTTTATATTGGGAAGTCAGCTAGAATGGCTTGTAGACGAATACATGATCATCTCTATCTAATCGAGAATCGGAAGATGTTGACACCCATAAGTAGACATGTTGGCCTGTGCCATGGATTTGACCCCACTTGCATTAGGCTCTATATCATAGACCATGTACACGAGAATATAAGAGGTGGAGATATTGATAAACAGTTGCTGCAAATTGAGACAAGATGGATTTTTCAACTTAAGCCAAATGTACCCCCGGGTTTGAACGAAATGGTGAGCTTCAAACCCTTCCTGTGAGACTTTTTAAATACTCAGAGATACTAGGGATTCGATAGTGAATAGATCTGACAATATCTGATATTATAAATAAGCTGGTTCCTTCCCTCTTCTTTTTCCCCATTTAATGAGCAATTTATGAGGCCTATGGTTAGGAACACATGCATTCTTCTGTTGTCTGGGATGGAAATATGAATGTACCCTAATTTCCATGATGTGTAACTGTCGGATCAATGTAGTTATTTCCTTCCATTGAGGAAATCTGCTATTAAGTATAAGTATAACAAATGTAGATTTCTACTGTATATGGGATTGTGTTGTTTTCTTTGTTTTGGTGTAAACCTTAAGGATATTGCTCTGTCATTGAAAGAGGAACCACCGGTCATCACACCAATCTGGTTAGATAGGGTGGAAACGGCTGGGGGAGGGGGGGGGTATTTAGGGGGGGGGCACTTTCTAACATCGTCCTTAGGAGGCTGTGCAGCAGGATGCTACATAACGGACCATTCAGTACTGACGGTATGTCTTATGATATGCGACACTATTATGGTTTCAAGTGTGGGAAATATTTTGAAGAAGGTGACAGAGGAAATGGATCCTGAACCATGGCGTCTAGCTGGCACACATCTTAAGATGGGACACATATCTATCTACTTTGGATATACATCCACATATGCCCCGACCTGATTTGAAGAAAGGAGATGTTTTGGGATACCACATAATACATACGCATAATGCACACATATATAGGAACATCGTATACATATAAACAGGGGTAACTTATAGTTTAGTAAATAACTGGATATTAAGTGGAAAATATGATTTCCTACCATCAAGGAGGGAATAAGGAAAACAAGATGCCATATAAACCACATCAGTGATATATATGATTTTGAACAACAGGTTGTCATATGATTGATCATATGAGTGCTGTTTTGTGGCCCCTGGATGCCCACTCCTCTATGGTCCCGGGTGAGACGGTTATACGTACATTTGACAGGGGACATTTTGCATCTAGTTGGCCCTTGCACAGCCCTAGCCCTCAGTTGACGTTGGTCCTTGCTTCCGGTGACAGATGCCTAATGGTTTTCCTTTCTTTTCTTGTAAGTGTAATAATTCAACTATATTCATGTGTGTAAATCAGGAATATAAGAAATTCTGTTACTATCAATGATATAATTATATGCTTATATTGACAAATGCGTTTTATGTTAAAAGGTTGCCATACATAAATCCTCTGATGAAGCTTATTTAAGAAAAACATGTTGGCAAATACTCCACAGCCACAAACCCTGGGAAACAATATCATCTTGTTAATCTTATGTAAAGCAAGTGCTAACTATCTACGCAGCAGATCTTTTGGTGATATATTGTTTAGGGGCGGTAGGTAGTATACAAAAATCACCACATAAATATATGTGTGCATTTATTACAAAAACAAAAATACATTTATCTTAATTGTTGCTCGCCTATTCACAAATCAGTGATTTTTGTATACATACCTATGGATTTTATCTTTTCTATGGAATAAATTATATTTGATTATAAATATGCAATGGTGTCAATGCCTTACATGAAACCCCAATCCTTTTCTTGCTTTCTATTCAAGGTTTAGAGTTTAATCTAAATTTCATCCCTATATTCAGGAGGTAGAATATAGAAGAGACTAGTCATATTTTTAGGCACAGAAAAACAGTTTGGCTTATGGGACTGTATGTATATGTGAGAAGGGTAACATGTCTGCTTGCCACTTCAGATTACATTCCTGAGTTCCTGAAATGCATGTTTTTATATTATTAAATCCTTATTAGTTGTGTTATTTTCCTATGTCATTCAGCCAGCTGAACATGTCTCTTCATCGATGAAATATGTTAGTTGTGATAGGGCTGACAGGATGATATTGGTACATAATGGTAAAGGAAACAAGTCAGAAAATTAGGTTATTGTGTTGTAATGGTGGCTGCTGTCTCAGGGTCAGCGAGACAGAGAAAGTGAAGATCTTGATTCCAAAGTTTCCTATATACAGTAGATGTGTGCCTTACTGCTCAGGAAAGGAGATGAGATGAGCAGATGTTTTAAAAGATTGTGATGAGAGAATGGAAAAGTAAAGTTTGGCTGGCCGTAGGCAGGAAAATATATCCCTGGGCAATGACTTGTAGATACTGGCTGGTTCTTACATTAGCCAGACAATTGCCTTGACTTGCTACAGTCCTTGTGCAACCCTGACAGTGGTGCACATCCTACTTCTGTTCTTTTGCTGTTCTACGAAGAACGATTTCTTGCAAATCTGAAAGTCTAACTGTGTAGTAATTAGCGCCTCCCTGCCACCACCCAAGCTATCAGGAGGGATAGTCAGGAGTATAGCTTGCTTTTATTGTATTGTTTATCCACAACCTTTAAAACACTTTATACAAGGCAGAGGTAAATAAAGATTAAGTCAAGAATGTGATCACCAATTGTTTGTTAGCAGTTGACATAACATAATTTAAAGTAGCATTAAATTCTTAATCTTTTTTCAATAATGAATCCAGATCAAACAAATTTACACTGCCCAGCAAAGTATTTTTTTTTACATTTTTGCCCAAGCACTTACAGTCATCATGTTTCCAAACAGATGGCTACAACTCTTTCAGCCTAGCTTCCCTAAACTTCCTGCCCAGTACAATATTATCAGGCACAGCAGAGTCTCCAGCAGCTGTCAATCTATGAGCTTGGTGAAGGGAGGAGGCAGGAGGGGGATTAGTGAGGCGGAGAGTGGCTTGCTGTGCCTCTGTGTTTGAGGAGTAGTAAAATATATCACCAGCACACCATGGTCAAATCTTTAGTCCATTGTGAGCATAAATACACATCACCAAAGTGCAATAACCAATTAATATTCCCGACCGGGCTCCAATGCGCATGCCTCCCGCGTAAATAGACTGCATTAAGTCTCTGGGTACTTTCATGTACTACTTATGCCCATAGGTGACACAACACCCCCCTTTTTTTGGGATAGTGGACCCATGGACAATACCACATAAATGTATTATATCTTTAACAGAGGCATCCATGCCTATATTCAGCCCGTATGGCTACATGGTCACTAAGCTGTTCCGCAATGACACACATCCGGATCACATATGCCAGACGCCGCTTGAAGCAGCTATCTTGACATCCAGCGAATGCCGGCTATTGTGAGCGTCCTTTGGTGCTAGGCAACCCAGGTTTTCCATTGCACATGCACAGTATAGCCCATTGTGAGTCAGACAGCCACTCTGTAAAAGCAGGATGAGTGAGTCAACTTTCATACCAGGCATTGAAACTCTTCACTGACATTTGCCCACGCACAATTAAGATTCAATCTGACGAACTAGTTGGTGACCACAGGACACTTATCAATATGTAACAACATCAAAGCTAATAACATGGTTCCATATGTTGATGATTATGCCAATTGTTGTTTATTCTTGTTCTGCATTTGAATTTGCCTTTCAAAGTATTTTATTAATTTTCCAAAGTAGAATAAAACAATAAAATAGCACATGATGCACAATCAGTATACCATACAATTGCATTTCTACGATATATTTTACTCCTTTAATCTGAAGCTGCGTCATCTGCAGTCACTACAGCACCCGCTGCAAGGGACATACCAGTAAGGAGTGCGATAGGATTCTCCTGTATGTGAGGACACAAACACAGCTTACTAGCACACACAAGGGTGTTTCCATAGGACACTGCAAAGGAAAGGAGCCACCCTGAAACAGGATATCAGGGCCAGTGCTTAGGAGACCAGCTGATTCTGTAGGAACCTAGAACCTTTTAACTTCAAGGAGCAGCATCCATTGTAAGTAATTTAATCAGCATTTTAAATAGCTTAAAAACATTTTAACTTTAATATCACTTTAAGTAGATGCAAAATTTCAACTGCCAGTAGATCCGTATAATTCTTAGCAAACTTTTTGATGTAAAAATGACTAAAAAAAAGAACAAGAATCATAGTGTGTTGCTAAAATTGTCCCTAAATTAATCTAAAACTCCTGGTTAATGCATGGTAGTAGCATATCGTTGTGAATTTAGGGCTTTTTCTTACCACGACTGATGGTGTGCAGATGTGTGTGCACTTGATGGAGATTTTTTTTTAGAACTTTATTGAAATGTTACAGTGACATTTTATTAAGGTCCATGGAAACACTGCGGTGCGATGCGATTGTTCCACGTCTCACTTTGGTGCACTTAAAAAATGATTGCTTGCCATACTTTTTTTAACCGCAACGCCCAGCGCAGCCCGAATGCATTGGGTGTGAATGGGCCCGTAACAATGCGGTTAAAAAAAAGTATGGCAAGCAATAATTTTTTGAATGCACCAAAGTGGGACGTGTATTGCATAGTTATGCTGTGAGGGGAAATTGGTATACAATATAGCTTATTTGGTGGGAACAAACTGTGGTATTGTCACACTTTCTGTTTTCTGCTATGCAGTCTTATATTATGCCTCTTTTGTAGTGAGAAAACTGAAGCAACCACTGGGGACAAAACAGGTAGGTACACTTGTGGCTGTTTTGTAATATATCTCCTCATGTTTTTCCTGTAAATGTTTTCATGAAATTACAACCCCAATTCCAAAAAAGTTGAGACGCTGTGTAAAATCTTAATGAAAACCAATGATTTGCAAATCTCCTAAACCCATATTTTATTCACAATAGAAAATAGAAAATATATCAAATGTTTAACCACTTGCTGACCAGGTGTTTAGACCCCCTTTCTGGCCAGGCCATTTTTCAGTATTCAGCGCTGCAGTACTTTGACTGACATTTATTCCATCATGCAATGCTGTACTGAAATGAATTTTATACAATTTGTTTGGGACAGATAGAGCTTTCTTTTGGTGGTATTTAATCACCACTGGGGTTTTTATTTTTTACTATATTCAGGAAAAATTACTGACTTTTTTTTTACATTTAATATTACCCCATTTTTTGGGTAAAAAATAAAAGACGGGGTCACGTCAGGTAAATAGACACCAAACATGACAAGCTTAAAAATTGCGCGCACCCGCGAAATCGCAAAAAATTTGCATACCTAAAATTTACCATAGGCGACGCTTTAAAAGCTTGTACAGCTCATCAGTTTCGTGTTATCAGTGTGCAAGTGATAACACAGCGCTAAAGGTGGATTCCGTAAGAAAGTAGGTGTAAAATATAAATTAATATATTGCCTTGTTCTGAAGGTATATATATATCCACCGTATAAGCCGGCGGATCACTTGTATGTTAACAGACATCGCTGCCGACATATACAGCCTGTTACATCCAGGAAGCTAAACTGAGGAAATTTACCATTTTAAGAAACAAATAAGGTCATTTTGAAATTGATGGCAGCAACACTTCTCCAAAAACTTGATGGTACCTTTCCAGATGTGCAAGCTGCCAATTCCATACACATTAATGCACCTCCATACCATCAGAGATGCAGGCTTTTGAAGTGAGCGCTAATAACAAGTCAGAAGGTCCCTATCCTCTTTAGTCCAGAGAATGAGGCACCCATGGTTGCCAAAAGTAATGTCAAATTTCAATTCCTCTGACTACAGAATAGTTTGCCACTTTGCAACAGACCATTTTAAATGAGCTTTGGCCCAGAAAAGACGGCAGCGTTTCTGGATCATGTTCAGATGTGGCTCCTTCTTTGCATGATAGAGCTTTAACTTGCATTTTTGGAAGGCACGGTGAGCTGTGTTCACAGACAGTGATTTTCCAAAGTATTCCTGAGCCCATGTAGTGATGTCTGAATCATGACTGTTTTTAATGCAGTGTTCCGCCTGAGGACCCGAAGATCACAGGCATCCAATATTGCGTTTCGGCCTTGTCCCTTGAGCACAGAGATTTCTCCAGATTCTCTGAATCTTTTGATGATCTTATGTACTGTGGATAGTGATATATTTAAAGTCTTTGGAATTTTACGTTGAGGAACATTATTCTGAAATTGTTCAACAATTTTTAGATGGTAAACCTCTGCCCATCTCTCTAAAATGCTCTTTTTATACCCCATCATGTTACTGACCTCTTGCCCACTAACCTCATTCGTTGCAAAATGTTCCTCCTGCTCTTCCTAGTTAGTAAAACTTACTTTGCCAGCTTTTTGTTGCCCTGTCCCAACTTTTTTGAGAAGTGTTGCTGCCATCATTTTCAAAATGACCTTATTTTTATATGGTAAATTTTCTCAGTCTAAACATTTGATCAGGGGCGGACTGACCATTCGGGCAGTCGGGCACGGACCGAGGGCCCGCGGCCATCAGGGGGCCCGTCACTGACGGTCCCCTCGCCGCTACCTCTCTGCCATCTGCACCCGGTCAGCCCACCTGCGTCTTGGTGCGCATGCTATGAAAACAGCTGATTCGGATGACTCGGCCCCACTGGAAGTGACACAGTGGAGAACATTTATAGGATCGAGAAAAATTATAGAACACTGCCTTTGACACTGTCTGGCCCCTCCCACTAACCTCCCACAGCTCACAGCCCAGAAGCATGGACAGCCAGTTCCCCGGCAATTCATCTTAGTGAATTGGCCCACTATTTGAAAAATAATGTGGAGAAAAAATGTCTGTGACACAAGAATGTCTATGCAGGTGGGGCGTGTGGGGGGGACTTGTATATGGGCGGAGCACAAGGGGGCCCCATAATCTTGTATTCCCTGGGGGGCCCATGTGTTGTCAGTCCGCCCCTGCATTTGATATGTTTTCTATTTTATATTGTGAATAAAATCTCGGTTTATGAAATTTGTATTCTGTTTTTATGTAGATTTTACAAAACGTCCCAACTTTTTTGGAATTTGGGGATGTAAGATCACTCTCATCATTAAACAGCTATGAAAATAATAATAATAAAAAAAAACCATGACACTTTATTTTTTACTAACATTTATACCCAGGCATAACGGGAACACGTGTTGCGTTCATGCACGTTTTGTTCCTGTGTTTGCTGCTTATCACCATTGGTTTTGATGGGTTCCCACATGCGCAACAAACGAGGAAAAGTGTATATGTAGTAAAGCCATGCGTTGGGTGTTTCTTTCCTCTGCATTTGTGCACGCTTTAACACACAAACACGGGGGGCATTGGTAATGGCACAGCAAGAGTGTTTTGCATCCTTGATAGGTTTCACAAACAGGTGTGAAAGTGCGCATTCTTGTGTGCATTTGCCGCACGTTCAAAGTGCTGAGTTATGAATGGAGACTAACTATGAACTTCTCTTACTACTTGCTACCTCCTGGTTAAAGAAAAAAACAATTTCAAAGCATTTTGTTATATCTGTTTAATAGCTGTTAAACAGCTGTTTAAATGTGTTGTCAGGATCTATGTGGGCTTTTGTCAAAAGTGGGTCAGAAGGCAGTCAACTGCAGGTCACAATAACCTGCAATTAATTATGTATGATCTCCAAAGTGTCACAAACTAATGTAAAATGAAAGCTGCATTTGCCTGTCGACACAAGCCCAAAGCTCATTGATAAAGGGCTTTATTAGCCCTGTCCAGTTCAGCTCTATGGGCTATAGAACTCCTTCTATGTCCGCCGTCACCTGCACTGGGTATGGCTGCCTGACAGTGGATACACCTGCCTTTGAGGCTGTTGTGGCACTGTCAGCCACAACCCAGTGCAGGCCCCACCACTTCAGACATTGGTTGCTAGGACCGCAGGGGATTTTAGCCACAGAATTAAGCAAGACAGACTATTGAAAAAAATCTTAGTTTATGTGGAAAAATTTATTGCATTTATATTTCTGTGTGAGCTAGGCTCATTTTAGTGTGATTTTTAAAACGTTTCCCTTTGCATGCATAGAGCGTTGCCTACCTCTTTTTATGTAAGTCTTGCTGTAGTGTGTTGCTGCATCTTGGTCTCCTTTATTGGTAATCTACGTATGGTTGGGATGTAGGAGACCTATTGCCAAAATCAACCATTATAAACTCCTTTCTGCCTCTTAACATAAAAACAAATGTCAGCATTGTGATGTTTCTTGACGAGAGAGAGAGAGAGAGAGAGAGAGAGAGAGAGAGATGCACAGCCTTCAAGAAGTACACTCTCAGGGATCCTTGTGATTTATTAGATATGCCTAACCATACATGTGATAAAACATATAATAGTATTTGCCAGTATAAGCATTTACGGAACATTCATAGGTATAATGGTGGTATCTTGTTATTTTAGGTTTTTTTTCTGTGATGATAAAATGCACTTACCTTAAGCAAATCTGTTGTTTGTTACTTCAAGCCTGTGGCCATCAGAATGCTGGAACTCCTCTGTTCAATTCAGGATCTTCTTCCACCCCAGCAGACCAGAGTAAAGCAATCACTCGCCTTCACATGCAGCTTCATCTCCATGACCTTCAGCACAATGCCAGTGAGCTAAAGAACCAACTGCAACAGCTAAAAAAATTGCAGGTACATGGTGAACAGAACTCTTGACTTTAGCTTGGATAAAACAAATGGAATATATGGAAAATAGTGGTTTTGTAAGGACCTTTATTGTTTTAACTGTTATTCATATAGCTATGTTTAACCCATATATAGGTAACTTCCAGCGTACATATTGTGATATGAGTGGGGTATTTCTGGGTTTCAAATGCACAGTGGGTTATTTATGCATCCTAAATTTCATCTGATTTATTCTGAAAAATGATCCCCCTCCTTTATTTGGCAGCCAAAGAGTACTTTTTAGCTCTTAAGTAACTCATGGCACTTCTTTTTAGATAAAATCAGATTTTGTGCTGGTCTAAATTGTTTTCGTTTAATGATTTGAAGTCTAAGTACATTAGTTTTTAAAATGCATTGAAATAACTGCCTTTCATAGATGAAGGATAGAAAACAGACTTTGGTTTAAAATAAATATGCATAACTTTGTGGATCAGATTATTATGGGGCTAGAACCTAGCAGATCAACATACTCTGTTAAAAATTAAGATTTATCTTCTTTACAGCTGCAGAATCAGGAGACTGTGCGGAACATGCTGAAGCGCACAGAGACAGAGATCAGTGTGCGGGTGACAGACACAATACGCAGACAGGAAGACCCCTTACAGCGACAGAGAGCCATGGTGGAGGAAGAAAGGTTGAAATACCTGAATGAAGAAGAGCTCATCACTCAGCAGTTAAAGTGAGAATATTGGCCTGTTATATTTCTATCAGAATATCTCCCCCAAAAAAGAAAGGGGAAGGTAGACCATATAATTTATATGAACTAAAGCAGGGCTTGAGAAATTTGCTTTGCATATAGGAGCCAGCTAAAAAAGTTAGGAGCCAGTAATTTTCAATTACAGTTTTAATTCCATTGTATGTGTGTGTTTGCGGGGGGCAGGGGACTTTACTTGCACATGTCTATGGGTCAGCACACACCAAATGATCTCTAATGGAATCTATTTTTGGAGTACACAATCCACGGGGTCTGTTTGACCAAAGGTGAAAGTGTTTTTTGTCACCCTGTAAGATATTAATGTTGCGTCGTAAGGTACATGCAATATGGCTAGAGTGCGGATTGAATTTAGTGATAAAAAGTGCACAATTAGAGTTGTTCTCCCTACGTATGGGGGAATCAAATCTAGTTCTGGCATTTGTCAGCATCGTCAATGTATCTAGTCTATTGTTTTACATGGCAGAAGAGTTCAGAAGGATAAATATACTTTTCCTCAAGATATCCTACAAAAAGATTAGCATAGGAAGGAGCAGCTCAACTGCCCATAGCCATGCCCTTAGTTTGCAGGTAATAGTGCTTCTCAAATCTGAAGTAGTTGTTCTCCAGAATCATTCGGAGGCTTTCCAATATAAAGTCAGTAGGAGGGGATCGTGCCTCCCTCTGGAACAAAAAATTACCTGCTGCTTCAAGGCCCAACTCCGTGGGTATGCAGGTAGAGAGGGCAGCAATATCCATAGTTAGAAATAACCATTCAGGACCAATCACATCAATACATTGTAGCTTATCAATTAAGTCATTAGTGTCTCTAATATAGGATGGTAAGTCTTTAACAAGGGGTTGGAAAAAATGGTACATGAGCATGGTCAGAGGTTGTAGAACATAACCTGTCCCAGCCACTACGGGTCTGTATCTTAATGGGTTGCAACCTTTGTGCACTTTATGAAGACCATAAATTATGGGTGTGTGTGGGTGTTCAGTACAGTATATACCCATTCCGCTATTCCCTTGGAGAGAAGGCCTGATCTCAAGTCTCAAGTAGTCTACAAGTTGTGATAGCTTACAATGAATGGATAACATAGGGCCATGTGTGATAGATGCATAACTGGAGTCATCAGAGATTAGTCTCAGCATGCCCATTCTATAATCAGAATAGTTGATAATAACAGCACCCCCTTTTTCAGCCGGCTTAATGATAATTGATGTATCGCTCTGTAGGGATTTGAGGGACGCTGTCTCAATTCTGTTTAAATTAAGAGCCTGTGCAGTGGTATAGGTCCTTCTGTGATTGGCAACCTCATATGTTTGATGTTTCAGGGTTTTAATTAATGTTTCTATAGTTGGGAAAAGGTATGCACCGATACCGATACTAGTATCGGTATCGGTGCTGATACCGAGTATATTTGGGCGAGTATTCGTACTCTCCCAAATGCTCCAATACCATCCCCGACACCAGGACGTCCGGTCAGAGGGATATTTCCTCTGACTGGCAGTGCAGTAGGGAAACGTGGATGCAGCTTCCTGCGTGATCATGAAGCTGGGCGGCGTGTAATGACCGCTTCCCGGCTTCCTGATTGTCCGGGAATGCCGGCCACATGCTGACTGGCCGTGAAGACCGATTCCCAGCCAATCAGCTTAGAGCCGGCCAAGCAGCCAGCTCCATGCTGATTACCCGGGAATCCGGCTTCCTGGCCAATCAGCATCAAGCCGTCCGAACAGCTGACGAGCCGCCCCCTGACGTCACACCTCCTCCTATTGGACGGACCAGCAGCTGGAAGTGTACACACTGACTACACTGGAGGTGAGTGAGAGGGGAGCGTGTACTGAGGGGTCAGCGCTGCGATTGGAGGGTGAAATATTGCGGGGCATTCACAAGAGGGACAACAGTTCCCAGCGTGCCAGCTACCTGCTTTGAAGAGCTCTGCAAAAGCTTTGTGTGCTTTCAGACCTAATATTGATAATTACTCCATCACCATGCACAGTACCAAGACCAGAGACTTTCTGCATACCATTTGCTGACTTGTCTGATGTTATATCTTTTAAATTCTGAGTGGGGGTGCTGTGCCAGATAATTTATAGATCCTACTGCACATACAGATCCCAGAGGGGGGAAAGACAGTCAGGCACAGCATTTTAGCCCCAGCCAAACAGCTGACTCCTTGCTGATTGGCAGGGAAGCCAGCCTCCCAGCCAATCAGGATGAAGCCGGGTTTCAGGCCAATCGGGGGAGGTGGGTCATTACTCCCCGCCTAGCTTCCTGATTGGCCAGGAATCCGGCTTGATGGTGATTGGTTGGGAAGCTGGTTTCTCCGCCAATTACAATCAAGGCGCCCAAACAAGATGGAGCCGGCTTCCTGGGCAATCAGGAAGCAGGTCGGCATTTCATTACCGACCCCCCGGCTTCTTGATTGCCAGGGAAGGCAATCAATGCCAGAGGATGTAACCGGTACTCTGTATCAGCGAGTACCGAAAGCAAAGTATCGGTACTCGTACTCAATACCGAAAACCCGGTATCGGTGCATCCCTATTTGGGAATACTCCAGGTGGGATAAAATAACTTTTATTTCTAAACCTAGTGCTGGTAGTATCAATTGCCAAAGTGCAAGGAGTGTCATAAACTGGAACGTTCTATTAAACTAAAACAACATTTTTCTAAGTGTCTATCTCAAATTCAAAGTTGTTGAACTTAAATGTAGGACAGAAAGACAAATCCTTGCTTTAAACACACATCTCCCTACTAGTTAGAGATTTAGAAGAAAGGTTAATTACCGGACATTCCTTGGCTTGCGTTATCTGGTGTCCATGGGAGGTTCGCGGTTTTAGTTTTTTACCGCTCCTCCTGGTGCGTTTTCTCTCTGGTACCGCTAAAAAAGGAGAAGGGGTAGCGTTGGTGATCGTGGTACTCTGTGATTCTGCAATAGGGATGTCACTGTCTGTTGATAGATTCTTACTGGAACTGGTGTTTTGTCGGGAGCCTCTTTGTGCAAACGCACCTCTCCTGCGTTGCCTTTGTGCGCTTTTGCCGGTGAACCAGGTGTATACACTTCCCTCCTGGTAGTCTTGGCACACCTGTTTGAATTTTTCTCTTTTGGCAGTTCTGATTTTATCAGCGTAAGAAGTGATTTCAGATTCGATTTTGGAAAGTTCAGTTATAAAGGGTTTCGTCTGTCACTTTGTTCCTGATATGGTTTTCATGCGCTGCGATATCTTTATTGATTTGGTAAAGTTGCACCTTTACTTCCTCTATTACCAGCAGCATATAGTTGAGATAATTTTGTGTTGAAATGTTGCAAATGTTGCACAAACTTTTTGCAGAAATCTCTTTTTTTGTCAGCTTATAGTGGGTTGATTATGAATGCGAAAGCCTCTAGGAACTTTCCGAGCACGATATTATTCAGATAAAGTTAGTCCATGTAGTTCCAGATCAACACGCTTCTTTCTCAATTGTTTAAGATCACGGAATAGTTCTATAGCTGAGTTAGAGCCAAATGCGGCTGCAGGATTTGAGTGAAATAGTATGGCATCAATTTCTTGCCTGCTATATGTACAGGTAGATGTTATAGTATGCGAAACTGTATCTCCATGTAGATCAATCAATGAGGTAGATAAAATGTCAGTTACTTGCTGGGTATGATGAAGATCTCTCCATCCGATCGGTCGTATGCATCCACTGGTCGTATGCTGGGGTGCTAGGCAGAGATTGAAGAAAATCAGATCAGTAAACAAGGATGTCCCTTGCACACCATACACCAGTCAGAACCGGTGCTTGAAATAGCAGTGGTGCTCGCAGTGATGTCCACTGAGGGCGCTGTGCATACCCAGAGTTAATAGCAATGAATATCACCAGCACACGCAGGATGAAATAAATCCAAGTCCCTTCATCAGGGCAAACATAGTGACAAATGAGTGAATAAAGAGAATTTCAAAAACAAATAAAGACATAAGTAATGACCCATATCAATAAGTAAAATCAAAGGGCCGTGTGACATATAACATAGCATACATGATGGTAGACTCACCAGGGTGCCCCGTGAAGAAGAACAAGTGCACTGACGGGCAGGTAGACGAATAGGTGGTACCGCAGCTGTATCATGCATTGTCATGGAGACCAGGGAGCGTTGTTGGCGCATAGCGTAGGAAGTGCGTCGTCCGCAACCAGGGATCCAAGGAGCACATGGACATGCTGACAGAGGAAAGCTTCTCCCCATTGCTTAGCAACCAAGCACGTAGCCATCATAGCAGCTTTATAATATGGGAAGAAAGTGACAAACAGAAAAAAAAAAAATCAAAAAACAAAAGAGGACAGGATCAAATGTATCCCTCTGACCAACAGTTCCGCGAGGTAGCATGGAGCCGGCTTCCCAGGCAGTCAGGAACCTGGGTCATCACCTGACAAAGCACCCTCCCCATGTCAAGGGCATGTGGACTGGTATGGTGAAGGGAGGGGGGGGGGACCCCAGGCATTTTTTTTTTTACATCGGGGGTCCCCCCTAACAGTCCCAGCAGACCTAAAGGGGGGGAACCCCACGCTTTTTCTTTTTCATATTGCTTCTTTGGACTGTAAAAAAAAGTAATTTTTTTTCCTTTTCTCTAATGTCACTTTGCTGCAACAAGAAATTTTTGTAAATACTACCGTATCCGAAATTAACACAAATTCAGATTAGTTCGAATCCCAAACCGAATTGACTTTTGGACCCGAATCCTGAAAAATTAGACAATGAAAAATCCGAAATGAGCTAAAACTATACAAAGCAAAGTTTTTCCAGCTTACTAGTCTACTCTGGACTTACTAATCAAGGGTTCTTTTAATCTCACAGGAAAAACATATAATTAGATAAATACAAACATCTAAAAAAAATCTAAAATGCTTCCGACCCCATCAATGGCTAAAAGGGAATATGATATGATGGTATACGATTACCCAGTGCGGTTGGTAAAGATCTGTAACACTGTAAAAACTGGGAAAG